TCTTTCTGTGCAGACTTCTATCTGTTCTGCATTACTAGAAGGAGAAGAAACAGCTCTGAGACAGATCTGAAGGGAAACATGCAAAAACAACAAGTAGGTGGTTGGAAGCAAATCAATATCCTGTGGAAAAGATGAAAAGTAGGACAGATTACTGAGACAGCTCTGTAAAAATAGAAGTGCTGAGGTGAAGAGCAGGAACCTCGTTGTAGATGTTCTTCTGGAACTCCAGCTCCTCCCTCAGGGTCTGCAGGCGGTTCTCGGCGTCCACTCTCCTCAGCATCTCATCCTGCAGCTGCCTCTTGGCATCAGCCAAGTTTACTTCCAACTGGAAAGGAGGCACGGAGAGAGAAACCAGATGAGAGAAATGATTTTTAGACGAAGCATGTAAGCACACAAAAAGAGATCTAATACAGAACAAGGTCCAATCTGTGCTGCGTAATCTGTGAGCCTCTCTTAAAGAAAAACCTTCAGTTCCTCGGTTTGGCCAGTAGGTGGAGCAAGGCCACAACCTCAGGAGTAACGTTCATTGATAAAACAAATAGCAAAAGATGCAATTTTGTCTGTCTCGCCTCCACATCCTCATTCATAATCAGCTGCTGGAGGGTTTACATAAAATAAAACTCCAGTGGGGTGTTTCTGCTTTGAGATCAGCACCACACAGACAGCCAAAGTGGCTCTGCACTCTGCAAATAGCTTTAAACAATCTGTGCAGGTCTGCAGATATTAAAGAGCGACTCCTGCTTTATCAGTGCAAAATGGGCAGTAAATATCCATGCAGCCTGCACGGACATCTCGCTTTCATTTGCATATTTCAGGCTAAGCTTCAAACCGCAGTCTACTTCTTTGCCTAGCAAATCACAGCTCAAGGGGGCGGGACAGAACGCACATTGGTGTTTGTGGGATTTTCCCCATTTGAGACCACGAATACACCACTTCTGAGAGGTACGCTAAACCTTTCTTTCATTAATGTGGAGGGAACTTCTTTTACTTTGATGCTAAAGCAACAGAGTAAAAGAAGAAAACAAACTGAGCAGTAAATAACAAACAATTCAGACTCCATAAAATGAAATGTTAAGTTTGGATAGAAATGTCTTTTACCTTCGCCAGCTGGGCCTTGAGGTCCTTCACTTCTGCCTCCAGGGTTCGCTTCTCCCCCAAGGCAGTGCTGAGGGCAGCATCTTTGGAGTTGAGCAGGGCTTCCAGGTCCCTCAACCTGACCAGAGCTGCCTCCAGGTCAGACTCCTTCTTGGTGTTCCTGTGAAGATAAGGATGACAGGATGTAGTTTGTAGATGTTTTGGTACTTTATGTGTCATTGTTATGTATTCTAACTGTGCTCATCATATCCCTGCTGATAAATGTAATTTTATTCCCCACAGACAAGCTTTTTATCAGCCTTACTGGAGCACTGCAAGTGGCCGCATCCAGTACTGAGAAAAGAAGCTAATCAAAAATGCCAAAAACTGCAGTTCCGCTAACCACCACTCGAGGCTGGTCCTGAAAGTGAGTCGATCCCCACAGATTCTCATGTTACACAAGTTAGCTCTCCATCCTCTCATCTAAACACTCACATTAAGTCTAACAGCCTCTTATAATCCAAATCATTTTAAAAAGGTGCAGCTATGTTCGAGGTGCTATATAAAACAAAGCTGCCTTGCCATCCATGGAGCAGTTTTTGTAGGTGACCCAAGAAAAAAAGGAGAAATAAATAAGAGAACAAATATAAATGATTTCTATAAATCAACTTCCATTTAGGCTATTGTCTGTATTTCAGTGGAGAAGGTGAAAGAAGGTCCTCACCACAAATCCTTCCATGTAACAGAAGGTCACAGGCATAACATTAAATCCAACATATTTTTTTTTATTAGGCCATTTATTTCTCTATGTATTTATTTAGCTGTCGACTGGTTTGTTACCCTCCATCAGTCCATCAGTTAATGCATTTGGTAACTTGCAGTATAGATTTCCTGTTAGCTTCCATTCAGGTTAAAATCTACAAAGTTATAAAAGGAGAATCTGTTCTTTTTCTGTGCCGAGTGATAAATAGCACCAAAGTACACGGCAGCGAGAGAAGCTGTGGATGACACGCTGTGCTGTTATTGGACTCCCAAACTACACATGAACTTCTCTCTGAGACAACCTGTGGCGTTTTAAGAGAACTCGTGTTTGTTCAGAGAGTTGTGTGAGGGGAAAAAATAAAAGAAATCTTGGAAGTGCGTGTGGAAAAACTATATATTTCCAGCACAACGTGAAGACGGGGGACGGGTTGGACAGAGGCTCATGCACGACTGAGGAGGAAATGGGCTCCCTATTATTCTATTTGGCCCTGTGGGCCATTCTTCATTGTCACTAATAATGACCATCTGCTGCAGGAGAAGCTTCCAGGCTGCTCACACAGACCTCAGGCTGTTAGGAAAGCCAGTGTATGGAGAAGCAGGCAAAAAGACACACAGATACCCACAGCAGAGTGAACTGACAGATATAAACTCCAAAGTGAAAATGCATTTATGACGCAGCAATCAATATCCATTACTGCTTTCAATAAAACCCAGGACTTCTTTTTAAGGGATGAAAGCGAAACTTTGTTTTCCTGAAGAAAAAAAAAGAGCCAAAACAATCAGCAGGTCAACCGAAAAAACATGCATCACAGGCAGAAAGCGGAAAACTGAAGCGGATTTAGGGGGGAAAAAAGGAGCCCACAAGACTGATTATGTTCAGATTTTTTAAAAAAAAATTTTAAAAAGGGAAAAGAAAGAGAAGCAGGAGGAGGAGGAGGAGGAGGAGGAGGAGGAGGAGGGCCGCCCAGTTTCTGATGGGCCCAAATCAAATCAGCGTCCTGGCTCGGCCTGCTCACAAACAGACATACGCAGCTCAGTGACTGATTCACGTGCACTTGATCACACGTGCTCTTTAAATAACCCTCTGGGAAAAAAATAATCCTCAAAAATTCTACATCACAACATTTTTTATTGTTGCTCATGAACACAGCATTTCATTCTTCATGAACAGCTGATGAATCAAAGCAGATTCTTCACTCAGTTTTCAGATCTGTTGGTTTTTTGTTTTGTTTTTAATATTAATAAAGATATTATTGAACTTAATGTTTTTATAAACATCACAAATACTTGCTGGAGTTAAAAGCCTAGCAGCTTCTGCCTTTCTTTGAATCAACCTCTGTTTGATATGACTGCACCAGAGTAGGAAGGAAGAACGATATCGGTTCCTGCTTATGTGTTGCAACTATTTGTCATATTTGACTTGTCAAAGAATGACTTCATGGCTCAGGTGTAGTGCAGCACAACATTAACACCTACAACAGTTGTTGGACCAACACAGTTATTGCCTGATTCAGACGTGTCAGTCATCACAGAGCTCCAAGCTTCTCCCACTGCACAGATTAGTAACTCGTGTAAAAAGAGACGTGACAACTGCTATAAAACGTCTTAATGGCTTATACTGTTGTGACTGTAATAACACTAATATAGCTTCACAACATGAGGAGGTGCCGTGCTCCTCGAGGCTCATTTACTAAAGTTGCTGCTTTATGTTATTGTGGGATATTTTAAATTCACCGCAATGCTCATTAACATACCCAGTGCACGTCTATAAAAGAAAGAAAAATAACCCAAACATGCTGTAATGAGAGAAGGAGACAATGAGAGGTGTGTTTTTCATTTCACTTATAAACTCTTTTGTTTACAGCTGGAGATAAACGTTACCAGAAAGTATGCAGCTCTTTGTCTGGATGTTAATATTTTCTCCAACGGACCGTTTTAACAGTGTGAGTCTGCAGCAGACGAGTGTGTGTGATTGTGTGTGTGTCTGCTGTGACATTCATTAAGGCTAATGGGCCCAGTGGATCAGCTTCAGCAGTGAATTAATGGATAGATGTGCCTCTACTGTATCAACATGCTGCTTTGCAGTTTGTATTCTCCTCGTACATAAAAGAATAAGAAAAGCTTGCAGCTAAAAGACTTGCAGGCCGAGTGTTTGA